AAAAAAAGTGGTCTCTGGAGAGGTTTTAACAAATTAGGAGATGGGGTAGGGGAGTGGGGTAGGGGGGTGGAGAGGTGTGTGAGGCACTGGGTCTTTCTGGTTCCTCCCTAGGGAAAGCCATCTGTTGTCTGCTGATCAGTACACCACTGCAATCCGGTGCTGTCATGGTGCCAGGTACCAGCAAGGTACTGATCAGAGAGGGTAAGTGAGGAGGGCCCGGTACTCCCTTCTTGGTGGAGCCGATCAGCCTTCTCAGGATTCAGAGTACAGGGTACCTTTAGGCCTATCTCCTCACTTCAAACAGAGGGATCCCAGCCTAAGCATGGTTCAAAAACTTCCCCTAGCCTTGGTGGCAAACTGTGGCATGGGATAGTTAGAGAGAGAAGAGTGATGCAGAGGTACTATCCAGGGCAACAGATGACCCTGCCACAGCAAGAGCTACAGAATCTTGTAGCAATTTATCGTTCAAAGGGTAAGGGCTCTGAGCTTGGAGGCATGGCCAGATGGTCGAAATGAAAGGATTCAGAGCTAGGCATGGTGGCCTGTGCCTTTAATCCCAACACCCAGAAGGCAGAAGCAAGTGGAACTCTGAGTTTGAGGCTAGCCTGGTCTACATAACAAGTCCCCAGCCAGCAGAGGCTACATAGTAAGACTATGTCTCAAAAACGGGTAGAAGGATTCGAACTTGGGCCACTACCTACAATTAAGAATATATGTATATGAGTGTGAGAACAAAGATATGTGCATGGCAGATGTCCATAAGGGCGTGTGTGTATGTGTGCTTGTAAAGATTGTGTGTGACTGTGTCAGTGAGTGTGAGTGGTCATTTGCAGGGAGAGTGTGCCCAGGAAGGTGTGTCTGAACAATAGGGTATATGATGGGGAACGTGTGTGAGCTGAGTGAGGGCACAAGTGTGAAAGAGAAAGAAGGTGGAGAGAGCTGGTGTAAGGCCCTCAAGGCACACAGTCTGCAGGTCTGCTGTGCTCACCCTCAAGAGTCACACCCCATGGCTGGAGAAGGTGGACTCTGAGCACCTTGCTCCATGGAGCAAATGAGGGCCCTGGGATTTCTGTGAGGCAGGTACACAACTGCCTGTGGAGCCTAAGGAACTTTAATGTTTGAGAAGACAGACTGTAGTTCAAGCCAGTGAAACAAAGAGGATCATAATAGCACAGGGGAGAACACCACTCTCCTTGACATTGATACAGGATACTAAGGGCATTTGGCTCTGGCAGCCAGCTGCCCCCCACACTTCCTCAAGGACCATGACTCCATCCACTGGCACAGTGACTGGGGAGGGACAAGGTCAGAGAAGCACCACCAGAACAGACTCCAAGCCAAGAGTTCCACTCTTAGCCTTGGCTCCCCTCAGGGTCTGCTCAAACCCTGTCTTGCCTTGGCCTCTTCTGGCTGCACGTCCAAGATGTGTGCTCTTTGGCACTCAGACTCTTCTCCTGAGGCCCATCTCTAACAGCGGACTGATGCAGGAAGTTCAGACTTGGGGAATTATTGCTCTCGCTGCCCTGCTTATCATGCTTGGTGGTGAGCTGATTTGTGTCGTCGTCTCCTTCCCCAGAACTGTATGTTAATATCCTCGCTTCTAGTATTTATACATATAAATAATATATAATATGATATAATAACCTTCAAATGAAGTCATATTAGATATGCGTGGGCTTCAGTCCAATGACTGGTGCCCTTACGAAGTCAGGGAAACTTGGACACAGTCATGCTGGAGTGGCTGGGTGAAGACAGTTTCAAATGAAGCTATGTTGCTGCAAGCTAAAGTACACCAAGGACTTCCAGATAACACTGAAGCCGGGAAGAGTCATAGGGATCGTCCCCACCTAGAGCATCCCCTCCATGAGCCATCAGCCAGAGCACATCCCCTCTAAACACTTTGACTTCAGATTTTTGACCTCCAGATGTGATACCCAAATTCTCTGTTGTTTCCAGGAGTCCCCTAGTCTGTGGCGTTTTCTTTAGGGCATTCCTGGAAAGCAACCCGCCCATGACAATTTTTATTGGCTTGATTTGTCAAAGCCACTTTGTCTACCTCTTTGGCTCTTGCCTGAGTCCTGCCTTGTGCCAAGGTCACTGCAACTGTTCCATCTCCCACACTGAAGCCACCGCTGGAATCCCCTCTGAGCCCCTGCCTAAGGCTTTGGACCTGTTCTATAGGTTGCATGGAGTTTAGATTCATGCGTGAAGCCCCTTGCTGTTCTCCCTGTTCTGGTGGCATTAAGGACAATGGTGTGTGTTTACATACGTATGGGGATGGGGCTGTGTTCATAGAGCAGGGTCAAGTGTTCACTCCCAACATGCATTGGCTGTACCATCAGGGTTAGGTGTTCAGGGTGCCTAGATGTCAGTTTCTTTTTTTAAAGTGGGGAGGAGGGTTGGAAAAGTGACCACACTCTTCCTCCCAGGCCAGAGCTGGGGTTGGTGGGTGATTGAGTGGGGAATCCCAAAAGATGGATGCAATTGCCAGACACTGTTAGTAAGAGGCCTGGAGGAATGAAGTGCCACTGGAATGGGCTAGCCTTTCTCCTCCGATTCTGAAGCCATCTGGGACTGATTGCTCTATGGATGGATTGGCTTGAGACAAGTCTTGCCTCCGGAGTTCCTCTTGATCCTGGATGGTACCTCCTTGTGTCTCTACCTCTTTGACTGTCCTCCATCTTATAAGACAAGCTGAGGAATTCAGATGAGGGTGGTGTGGGGAGGCCTGTAGCAGTTGGAGGTGGGTCATTGTGCTGTTTCTGTAGTGTGTGTGAGCAGTATAGAACCACACACTTTAACTCAGCCATTGAGGGCTTCTCTCACCCCTCAGTGTGGTATCCCTAGTCTTCCCACAATGGAAATTGGGCAGGGGTGACCTTAGCAGATACCAGCTTCAGCCTTGAGTTGTTTTGATAATTCCAATGTCTAATTCAACCTTATAGGAGGGCTGGGCCCCCAAGGTTTCAACTGTCTTAAAAGGATTCAGCTCTATCCACAGATTTGGGGGCCCTTATGCCTGGAGAAAGCCCCTGTGTGGCTTGGCTCCTCTTGGGTTGGGCATGACGTGGGCAGGACAGAAGAGAAAGTGGGGTAGGGAGATAGAGTCAAGTGTGAATCAGCTTGCTCCAAGAAGCCCCTTGTCCTCCATAGCAGCTGCAGCCCCCCAGTCATTTTTTTCTAATGGTTAGTTCAGGGAGGTTGAATAGAATTGGATCCAGAAGCAACCGAGGCTTCCTTGTGGTCTGCCCTTTAGGGGAACCAATGGCCACAATCTGCCTTTTCACCTTGGTGTGAAAAAGCATGCTCGGCCAGCAGGTGGCAGTGTCCTCCTGGACTCCAAAGAAGAAGGAAATCAAGGTATTCCGAGGAAGGAACCAATAACCCATCATTCCATAAAGATCCAGGTTTCACTCAGTCCTTGAAGATCCTACTGGAAGTGTCACCCCTACCCTTCAACAGAAAGAGTTCCTTCTGACTGCTCGGACTCCTTAGGAGGTAATTCATTGCCTGAGCCTTTTGAGCCTCCTGAAGAGCTGAGCGGGCTCCGAAGCAGGCTCCCTGGCTCCTCCACAGCCGTGGTAGGGATTTTGTTCTTTGTGTTCTCAGGGCTAACCGGTTAGGTTTGCTTTCTCTGCTGGGATTGGAACTCAGGTTCCTGAGCCTGTGGGTAAGTGCTCTTCCCCATGCTGAGACCTACTGGGAGGAATAACTGGGACCAGGAAGCACAAAAAGGAGCTGTGCAGGCTAAAGGGAAGGCACATCAGTATCCATCCTTCTGGTCTTTTTTTCCCCTCACTTGTGTTCTAAGCCAGTGGACAGTTCTTTCATCCTCTGATGCCTACAGTGAACTTCGGCTGAAATGGTCGAGGTTAGACGTGGGTATAACATGGCAAAGACTGAGTGGTCACAATCCTGACCAAACATAGACGTGTGCATCAAGAGAAGAGAACCAGCTGCCTCTTTGAGAGCAGGACAGCTGTGGCTGAGGGAAGGTAGAACTCTACAGGAATGGTCAAGAACGGTAGCCAGTTGGCCCCTATTTAGCCTAAGGACACAGGGGGAAGTGGTCTCACTGGGTTTTCTATCTACTAACTAGATAGTCTGTTAGTAGAAGTCACTGTGCCCCTGCCTTGTCTCCAGGGTTCAAAGAAGACAGGAATAAAGGTGTCAATCATTGTGCTGCTGTTATTAACCAGAGTGCAATTAATCCACCCTTTGTGGATTTGGAAGCCACAGTGTAAATGAGAAGGTTTTGCCCAGAAACACTCTGGGAGCTGTTGAGCACAGAATGGCCAACAACAAGATAGGGGAAGGTGGCAGAAGGCAGAATACAGAAGGTATTGATACTCCATTGCCACATGTCCAACAAGGACCTGAGAGGAAGGGTGCTTTCCGCCAAGGCTGTTGGCCTGGCCTGGTGTGTGAGCCCCTGACTACCTTCCCAACACATCCCCTTAGCTTCAAGTCCAATTCCTGATAAGTAGGTGAGAGCTGGGGCAGGCCCACAGCTGACTTCTACATGGGGAATAGATGTCAACCGAAGACAAAGAAGGAGCTGAGATGCCCCATTCTTCATGAGTTTATCTCATGACACTCAAACTAGCTCAGAGATGGGGAAGGGCAACAATGCCCTTCCACTTGGGTGACAACTGCCCCACCCCCACCCCAGGAGGTAGGTCAGAGGACAGAGCATTCCTGTGCCTTTCTGTGTCTGAGCACTGATTGGGGATTCCCCCACCACCACCACAGCCCACCTCTCACTAAGGGGTGGAGTCAGCTGTGCTTTCTGGGATTGATAGGTTAGGGGGCATAGGAAGGTCACTGAGAGCCCCAGGGCTTGGCCCCACTGGCTCTTAACAAGAGTTGGAGAGCGAGGATGTAGTCTGAACTGCTTTGATGAGACTATTCCTCATGTCCGGAGCAGAGTGATGCTGTCCAGGCAAGGGCACTGCTCAGGCCAGCTAGGATTCAGAGACGTAGAGCGCCTCTACGGCATCACTCAGACCCTGGCTGACACCTCCCACAGCCAGCAGGCAGTTCTTGAAGACAATGCTGGAGCAGGCACAGCGGGGTGTGGGCATGGCAGGGAGGGCCTCCCACTTGTTCTTCTCTGGGTGGAATGCTTCTGCTGTCTCCAGGACAGTGGGCTGGTTTCCTGAAAACAACAGGGGAATCAGCTCTTAGACCAAGGAGCCCAATCACCAAGCACATCCCACAGTGACCATCTCCCAACCTAGAAGTAAAAACCAAGCAACTTCATTATCTTTTGCTGAAGGATGGCCCTCGTTTTACTATCCTGGGCCAAGAAGTCCTGTCAAGCAACTTTGTCCTATGTCCCTTATCTCTACCTTTTCATTTTAAGAATAGGATTGTTGGCTGGGAGTGGCAGCACATGCCTTATATAATCCCAGCACTTGGGAGTTAGAGGCAGGTGGATCTCTGTGAGTTCAAGGCCAGCCTGGTCTACAGAGCTAGTTCCAGGACAGCTAGAACTACACAGAGAAACCCTGTCTTGGAAAAAAAGTGAAAGAAAAAAAAAGAGGCTTGTTTTCTTCACCCTTGCTTATCAGGGGCTTCTAGAGCACTGCTGCTTCCTTCCCTCCTGGTTTCACACACACAGGAAGCTTCTCCCACAATCTAGTTCATATGGTTGTTCAAGAATGAGTATAGTGGGGGTGTATCTACACTGAGTAAACTCTGGCTGCCTGGGATCCCCTCTGCCTTTATCACTGTGCCTTTGACTTCAGTGTGCCCCAAGCCCCAGTCCAGCCTTCAAAATACCAGCAGTCTTTGAGAAGGAGGAGTTATACATCAGTCAAGTCCAGAATTAGGACCATGTATTTGATAATTTGCTTTGCTATCCCAGGATACACCTAGATGTCCAAGAGCTGGGTCAATGAAGGATGATGCTGATCCTTTACCCTTTGTCTCCAGCTATCCCCAGAAAGGGATTCAGGGACCTGGGTTCAGCACAGGGGTTCACAGTTATCAGTATGTCCCCTATTCTTTCTAGATCTCCACTTTCCTAGTACAGAATCGAAAGGACACGTGTGGAGCCACGTGGAAAGGTCAAGCCCAGACTGTATTGAATTCTCTGGAGTGGAGCAGTGGGAGGTGTGTAAGAAGTCAGTACCATCTGTCGCTCGAGTGCAGTGCCAAGGACCAGAACTACAACACAGAACAGTTGAGATGATCCATCCTTACCAAGTCCCCCAGCCACTATGACCCGTCCACTCAGACCACCAGCCACAAAGTCTGCCCGGCGCTTCTTGAGAAAGAATGAGCGTTCCATCTTCAGCCATCCCCCTGCAGGCCATGCATAGTGACAGCAGAGACAGAGGGTTAGGTGCTGATGTCCCCTAACAAATACAGACGAATCCCAAGTGGTTCATATCTTGTATGGCTACTCCCTTGTGTTTAAGGTGTAGAGAGCATCCCTCTGGTGATTGAAATGACACTCTCTAGACACTCTACCACCTCAGCCTTCTCTGGTGCTTGGCACAGTCTAGCATATACCACTCCCATGGGCCCCTGTTCTATTTAGGTTTTTCACAGTTCTAAACTGGGGAGGAATCTGATTAAAGGTGGTGAACGGAGTGATCAGGATCCCTCTGACTCTCCATCAGTACAGGAAGAATCCTTTCCTCATACCCAGGGAGGAGGAGGAATGGCTATAGTGAAAACAGCCAACCAGGTTAAAAGGTGCCTTGAATTGAATTTGACTCCAAGCATATTCATGAGTTAGGAAGGCTGCTTAGACACTAGAGAGGTCTGCCTGGATATATAAGCAGCCCCCGGAAGATTTCCAGGATGGGGAAAGTGGGGGTCAGTCAGAAGAGAGACAAGCCGCTAAGAGGATGGGGACCCAGCTCACCCTGTTCCATGTCGAAAACATCCATTGTCCGGAGGAACTTGGGTTGCCGATAGAGACGACCCTGTCGCAGGCCTCCCAGACTGTACAGGTGGTTGTCCAGGGTCACAAAGCTGGAGAAAGCCCGCTTGCAGGGAATGTTGGGGAACTTGGTCCAGGACCGAGACTCTATGTCAAAGACCTCGAAGGCATTGACTGCATACTTAGACTGTCGTCCCCCTAGAGGTGGGAACAGGGTACATGGTGGACAAAAAAAGCAGCCCCTGAGAACCGATAGGGCTGGGATTTCCCTTCTGTTATTCAGTTATTTGGAAGATTCCTCAGGGGCTTCAACAGTGTGATTATCCCCCAGGGCCAGGGGAATTCTCAGGCTGTGGGCATTGCTTCCTAGGGAACTCACCCAAGGGAACAAGGAGAGGAAATGAACAACAAGCAGCTTGTCCTTACCCAGCACATAGATCTTGGAGCCCCGGAGAAAGGAGGTGGCCGCATATCTTGGAGTGGGCATGGGTGCTAGTGACACCCACATGTCCTTTAGCATGTCATAGTGTTGCAAGTAGTTGTGTGGTCGAAGGTCCAGTCCCATCCCACCTGCAGCATACACTCTATAATCTAAGAAAAAAGCCACACACAGACATGGTTCGGCTCCAAGGCACCCAGAAACAGTCCCAACAGAATCCATAGCCTTACATAGGCCACTCCAAGTTCCCGGCCACTGCTAGGAAATTGCAGCTGTTTTGGTGGAGTGGGTAATACCATTCAAAGTCCCTGTTATGGCTAAATCTAGGTCTTCCTGAAGCTGTGGCAAGACTGTGTGCCTCGGCCCCTCCTTAGTGCTAAGTCCTTGGCAAAGCCTGATACACTAAACCCTGCACAGAGACAGGTGGCAGTGAAGCCTAGGTCCCCCACCATCCTCCTGTGCTCTTTTATAGGCAGCCAGAGAGGACAGTGAGGGAAGAGGCTTTTGTGATGACCTGTCCCATAGGATCCCTTAGGAATTCTCAGGCATTAATTCTTCAGACATGGTGAAGTCCTTTAGAACTATAGTCAGCCTCACTGGCACTGCTCCTCTATGTACTTGGCTATCAGTGGTTCTGTCTGCTACCCCAGTGGAGAAATGGTATTCTCCTCCACATAGACAGAAGCTTGCAGGATCCAGCAGGCCCCTGTGCTGAATGGGCTGATAAGGCCGGGTCTGAATGAGGAGGAGGCTTTGGAGAACTGGCCCTTCAGAAACCTTGCCCTTAGAGAGCTACGTTCTCTAAGCAGGGAGTCCCCATCCCCCTTTCTCCTGTGCTCTGGGCAGTGGGTAGCTTTTTCAGGGACTCAGCACACTGTATCAAAGGGCATGGTCTACCATTTGTTCCCCCAGCCCCTGCCTGAATGGGTTTTCTCTCAGAGATCTTCAGTTCCTGGATGTGGTTCTTGCTCCCAGCAGCCTTTGCTCACAGCCTTCCTCTCTATGGTGCTTTGACTCTTTGAGGTGACTACTACAGAAAGTGAGCCCTGTTTCCCTTTGCTTTCTAGCCATACTGAGGTTGGTGATGGAGCCTAGCCCTACGCTCAAGGCTTGGAAAGGGCTTGATGATAAATACCTGATTAGCATAAATTCCACCTTCCTTCTAGGAACACCCCCTCCTGAAAAAAGCTCTATCCACTCCACAGCCATTCAGCTGGTGGTCAGTTCTGACCCATCCTTTGAGCCTCAACTGGGTTCCCTGAGCTGCAAAGCAGGAGGCCCAGAGGACTTGGCTTGGTGCCTCCTGAGTGATGGTATCTTCATTGCTCTATTACCACAAGTAACTAATACCAGCTCAAGCTGTTTCTCCCAAAACACTGAAGGTCTTTGAGAATCTGTTAATCTATGAACCCAGCACAATGGCTGACATGGAAATGTTTACCAACCTAACTGTTGAACCCATTTGACTTTATAGTTTGGAACACAGACATGGTCTTGACTTACTATCTGTTTAACCCTGGGGAATTAACCTTTCTGGGCTTCAAGCTGCTTCTTCTAAAATAGACTAAAAGTAGTACTTATCTCATTGGATATATTGAAAGTCCAAAGGGGTAACTCACCAATGGTAAGCCTTAATTTTTACCTTTCAGCATAATTTATTGAAGAAGCTAGGGATGGAATATACTCCATACTTATTACCTTCAGTGTCTTCATGGGCCTCTGGACCTTCCATCTTTTTTTTTTTTTTAAATGGGGTCTTACTATGTAGCTTAATTGCCCTTGAACTCATAATCCTTCTGCCGCAGCCTCCTGAACTCACTCTGCAGGTGAGGCAAGTCTTGAACTTGACATTCTTCTGACTCAGCCTCCAGAGTAGCTAGGATTACAGTCCTTCAGCATCAGGCCTGGCTTTTCATACTTCTAACTGGCAGGTCATGAATACCTTTAGTCTACCCTTCCAAGAGGGTTCTGGCCCCAGCTTCTTGCCAGTCACTTTCAGGGCCCATATTTTCTACCCAGTTCCTTCCTCCCTGTGGTCTAAGACTGTGCCAGGGACAGACAGGTGTTGAAGAAAAGCTGGTTTCTGATCTTCCATATGCCAGACAGGCAGCTGGGGTAGTGTAGCAAGAGAACAGGGAAGGATGGGGAAAGGAAGGAAGGTCACCGCACCAAGCCTACAGTGTGGAGACAAATGCATATGAATTTGGGGTCTCTTAACTCTCATTCTCATAAAACTCTATGTTTTAAGAAAATGGCAGTTGGACCCCTCTATAGGCAGTATTGGGCCCCAAAAGAGTGAAATGATGACTTTGAGAAAGTGAAACAAGGATTTTAAAACCCCATGCAAGTCAGAGAACTTGGTGGACCTAGATAATAGGCTACAGGAATCAACCTTTGGAACAGTCTGACCTCTACTCAGTATGACTGAAACCGCAGTCAGTAGTTAAAGAAGATCCTGGGATCCGGTCCCAAAGCCTCCATGGCAGACCTGGTGATGGTAGAAGGTTGGAATGACTGTCCTCAGGAACCTACAGAGGTAGGTTTGGGTGTGTGTGTGACCAGTGGGAAATGTGGTCATTCGGCTGAATGCCAGGGTCTGCAGAGTCGTTGCAGATAACCCCATAGCTCACACCTTGGCTCTCCCTCTGCAGTGGCCTGCCCAGCCTGCCGGGAGGAACCCGCTGGAGCTGACTGGCTCCTGGCATCAGACGGAATTCCTAGACATTTCACCTGCTCAGTCTCCCTTCCCAATAATGGAATAAGGGCAGTGGGTCTCTAGTTTTAGTGCTTAATGTAAGGTTTAAATGTGATGGGTGATGCTCTATTGGCCTCCCAAATCATGTGGCATTTCATCTGTTTTCCCCGTGACCCTTTACTTTTCTTCTCTATCCCCTCCCTCAACCCTGGCCCCACTTGCCTTTGGCTGTAACAGAAATGCCCATGGCAGCCTCACGCAGCACGCTCCTCTTCTTCCACTTGCCCTCATCGATATTGTACATTTCCACGACCTTCAGAGGCAGTTGATTGGTGCCCACACCCCCGATCACCATAATCCGCTTTCCTAGGGCAGTAACCGCTACCCCGGCCCTGGCTGTGGGCAGGGAGGGCAGGGAAGTCCATTGGTCGGCCTCGGGGGAGTAGACCTCGAAGCAGTCCATGGGGACTCCATTGTCATCACATCCCCCGATGGCATAGACCTGCCCCCCGGTCTCCAACAGTGAGCAGTAGACTCGGCGGCTAGGCAGTGGAGCAAGGCGCTTCCACTGAAAGTCCTTGACATTGGGCACCTCCATGGCAGCCCGGGGTAGGGCCCTGCTCGCTCGCCCTCACAGCGTCCGGGCAAGGTCCAGCCCCGGGTCCCACCGGCTAC